CTCAGGAGGCTGAGGTAGGAAAATCGCTTGAACCAGGGAGGCCGAGGCTGCAGTGAGCTAAGATCACGTCACTGCACTCCAGCCTGGGCCACAGAGCGAGACTCTGTCTCAGAAAAAAAAAAGGCTTGGTATATGGTTTTCAGGAATGTGTTTTGAATGCAAAGCCTTAAAACAGCCAATTTTAGAGATTAATACTAATGAAATAATATATACAAAGATGTTCTCTGCTCTTTTCAATAAACTAGGAAAAAACCCTCTAAATATACAAACAATAAAGGATGACTAAGGTTTATCCTGACGAAGCCATTTAACAGGCTATACATTTATATCTAATTATTATGGATAGATGTTTTACGCTTCATGAGGACACTGCTCTGATCTAGCTTGTGTTCACTTTTGTATCCCTAGGGCATAGAATAAGGCTTAGCACATAAATGTTTATTAAGTATTTGCTAAGTCAATGAAAAAGTAATGTTAAGAAAAAATAATATAAAATTTTATAAAATGTGATTTCTGTGAAAAAGCTGTATAGAAAAAGAATTGGAAAGACACACAAGCAAATGGGAAAAGAGGTCATGGGCAATTTTAAAAAACAGTTTTATTGAGGTATAATTTTACATACCATAAAATTCACCCATTGTATGTGTACAATTCAATTACTTCATTTATACAACTGCTCAATTATCACCATATTCCAGCATGATGGTCAATATTTGCTCTGTCATTTGATCTTTTTTCTATGGTAAGCAAAAATCTCTTATTTGAAAGGTTCCCTCACTGAAAGCTGGGTGGAGTTGAACTCTAAAATTACCTACGAAATTATTTTCTACCTAATCATCTAAGTCTACTTCTTCAGTTTGACACATGCATCTTACTAGCACAAGTTGCATTTTAAAAGCAGCAGGAAGGTCTTTTGCTATCATCAGAAATTAAGGATTGAGCAGGCATGATACAGCATAGATTGTTTCATTCACGGTAATAAGGTCAATATTCTTGCTCCTTCTACAAATAAAAAGAAGTTCCACAGAATAACAAGTACAGTGCGGTTCCCAAAGGAAACGCAGGTACTGAATGTAACAAACTGCAACTGTTTCTCTGCTCCTCAATCTTGCCTGAGTAGTACGCGAGCTGCCGATGTTACCCAACCCACCTGATAAACCGGCCGCTCGAGTCCCCAGCCTGTGAGAGGTTCAGAGGTAAGACTTTCCGTGTATTCCCTTAGCTCCCTAGAGGACACTCTTTGTTAAGAAGGCGACTGAGATCGATTAGCACCTAAATCCCTGTCACAGTCCCGGCTCCCATCGCCCCTCCTGTGGCCTCCTACCTGCAGAGAAGCAGAGCAGGTACACCCGGTGCCTTAGGCGGGCCAAACCTAGCACTGTGGGAGCAAAAAACATGGCTTCATCGTCAGGGTGCGCTATGACCAGGAGAGTCCGGCTTTCGGCTCCCAGCAGTCTGCCCTGCTCCCAACTCTTCATTCGTTCTGAGGAGTCCCAAACCCAGATGAAGCCCCATGCCAGGACCGCCGCTAACACGCATAGTAGCCACATTGCTTCCCTGATGGGTAAGCGGCATCGCGCCTGCGCAGTAGGCAAGGCTGCCTCTGACCCTGACGCCGGCTGGAAAACTGCACCCGGGAATGTGGGGTTCCGTGGTTAAGTCCGTTCCGCCGACATGCTCCGGAGGCTTGAGGCTTTACGCTAGGGATTCTCTTGTGTTTTAAGAGAAGTCTCCGTGCCGTCCAGTTTCCTATCCTAGTCCTACCACACTATACAATCGGTTTAAAGGGAAGCGTCTTATATATAAACTCCCATCTCTTGTAGGAAGAGTTCCTCTTCTTCAACTCATTTCTTAAAACTTGGGTTTTTCTCGTAATTACAGGGTTAGACAGCCCGTTATCCAGATGACAGTTTTCCAAAACAGCCAGATAAACCAGCTTTGTTTTTCGTTCTCACTTTTGGATGGCCTTTTTTTTTTTCTTTTTATTTGAGACAGGTCTTGCTCTGTAGCTCAGGCTGGAGTGCAGTGGCGCGATCTTTGCTCACTGCAACCTCTGTCTCCCGGGTTCAAGCAATTTCTGCCTCAGCCTCCCGAGTGGCTGGGACTACAGCCGTGCGCTATTATGCCCAGCTAATTTTTATATTTTTAGTAGAGATGGGGTTTCACCATATTGGCCAGGCTGGTCTCGAACTCCTGACCTCCTGATCTGCCCACCTTGGCCTCTCAAAGTGCTGGGATTACGGGCGTAAGCCATTGCGCCTGGCCCTTTCTTTCTTTGAGACTGGGTCTGGCTCTATCACCCAGGCTGGAGTGCAGTGGCGTATCCTAGGCTTGTTGCAACCTCCGCCTCCCGTGTGTTCAAGCAATTCTCCCACCCCAGCACCCCCCACCCCAGTACCTAAGATTACAGGCGCCATGCCCGGTTAATTTTTGTATTTTTAGTAGAGACGGAGTATTATACCCGAGCGAGTTAAGGAATGCGCCACAATGAGATTGAATTATGAGTCCTTTATTTTAGCCGGCAACCGAGAGGTGGCTAACGCCCAAAAGAGTTAGGGGATTTTTTTTATACCCTAGTTTGAAAAGGGAGGGGGGAAACTAGCTGAAGCAATTTTTTCACAGAAGCAGAGTATGCAAAAAGTTAAAAGATAAACTAGTACGTGAGAAATAAAACAGTACCAGGTGCAAGGGCTAAAGCTGTCATAAAAAGACATACAATTTACACATATGGGGGCTCTGGGTACTCGAAAGCACCTGCTTTCCCAGGCTCTGCTGCTACCGCTTAACTCGGCCACTTTTTTTTTTTTTTTTTTTTTT